CATTACTTGGGAGGCAGAGACAGGCTGATCTTTGTGATTTGAGACCAGCCTGGTCTACATAGCAAATTCCAGCTTAACATCTCTACATTTGGCAGAATTTTCCATTTTATTCATACTCTCCAAGGTTATTAGTTGTGTGTAGCAAAAGTTTCCTCCTTTATTTTTCTTTTTTTTTAATTGGGAAGCTAGCATATAACTTTTACATTAGTTTCTTTAAGGAAGCTAAACATTAAATTATTAAAAGCTAATTGAGTTTTTATACCCAAGGGAAAACATCCAATTGAGAAAGCATTTCCATCTGTAATATTTATTTTATTATACATTCACTTGCAATTTTCAATTTATTACTGTTCGCTTCATGAAAAGCTTACCTCTAACAAATTTTCTGTTAGTGCTAGCTACACTTGTTCAGTAGTGAACTTTTGTCATTTGAAAGTTCTTACTGAATGACACACCATGGGAATCTTATCCATTTGGCATATTTCTATTCCCCCAAGCCTACTGCAAGATCCACCAAGTAATGGTATTCAATATTTGCTGCATAACTGAGTAGGCACTACAAATTTAAAATTATAATTTATAAGTCTGTTACCTACTTTGTGGGGTCTTAAAGCAACAGGGGATATAGATTTCCAATGCACAATTCACCAAACACTTTTTGAACTTGTGGCTTGGACTCTAGGAAAATTTGTCCAGAATTTTTCAATCTAGGGAAAAGCTATTGTAAATTTTAGCACACGTGTAAGGTAATGTTCTTTGGTTTAGAATTCTATGTATTTTGAATCACAGATGGGGAGACAACCAAAATGTCTCCTATATGTGTGAGTGCTTGTGTATACTCACTTCCATTGGTCCAAGAGTGACCTCATGAACATTGTATTGCTCTTTTAAACTACTGACAGTGTGATCCTGTCTCTGACTTTATTTTTAATAATTTTTAGATAGGTCATGGTTTGATTGTTTTAAAAGCCTTTGTCAAATATTGTGCAATATTTGTATATAAATAGGGTAGCAATCCATCATTTTGATAACACAGTGAATAAAATTTTAGATTTCTTGCAAACATAATTATACTTTAGATATAATTAGATATAATCACTACAAAAATTTCAGTCAAGTATGAAAACGTAGATCCTTATAGTTGTATTCTGTGTCTTTGACTTAAATACTAACAATGTTAGCTTTCTTAATTGGCTTTAGATACTGATTGAAGAAATTTTTAAAGATTTAATTCACTCCACTTTTGTTAGAGAATATGGAAATGTTTGTATACGGGAACTTTCATTGCATGCTTGAATGGAAATTCATCGGGGAGGGGGGACAATTTCATTTTATTGCCCAAGAACTGTTGATACACTCCCTCTGTCTTTCAAACGCATTTCATGCCACATAAGCAAACTGTAGCTAGTGAGGAAACAGAACACTTCTCACGTGTCAGTCTCAGCAAACTTGAAGACGAACTGCGTTAGGTACTGATGAAGATTATCACAGGACCCAGTTGCAGGGGTTTGTATGGTGGAAGAGACAACCGTCTCTCTCAGGAGACCACTTTGTTGAAGATGGGCAGTAGTAATGCATCTCCAGTGTTGCTAGTGAACCTTAAGACCGTGTAGTTGTACAAAATCGGTGCAGATAAAATCAGACGGTAGCAAAAAGAAAACTCAGAGAAGGTGTTTTTTTGTTGTTTTGTTTATTTTGTTTGTTGTTGTTTGTTTGGCTTGGTTCTGTGTCTTAAAGTGTGAAATTAGAACAAATGTTCTAGGCTTGTTGCTTTCACGCGTAAGAAAAACAGAAGGAATGCCTTTAATGAAGAAAACTTGCAGGACATTCAGGCTTTTCATTTGAGAACCATTTGGGTGTGTTGAGAAATAAAGTTGCAGAGTAGGCATGTTCAGACCTTTATTTGCTACTTTGGGTAGGAAAGATTTTTTTTCCTCCCTCCTAACTACAAGCCAGAGTTTTCTGTGCAAATGAAACAGGCGTTGCAAGAATCAGATTCACTTTGGACGACTCTTCACATTCCAAGTCATCACTGCATTAGGCAGCACAATTCCATCTCTGGTTGATGGGCAGAAAAAGTGGGCAGCTTGCCAGGTAGACGTTTCCATGACTCCCAGCCCCCAAAGGTGATGCGTTTTTCAGCTAATTCAATGGAGAGTGGGCTGAACTTTGGGTCTAAACGAGACAATAGCTGCCTTCGCAGTATCAGCAGAATGGTTGATGGGAATGCACTCTACATTTGGCAGAGAATCATGTGACCTTACGACTGAGATTTTGTGGTGGTGCCAACGGAGACTTGGAAAGCAGCAACGATCCTGACTTTTTTCTTCTTTTCTAGCATGCCTCAGAAAATGGTGGATCTTAATACTTGACTTTAGCCAGACTCAGCAAGCAACTGAGCTTTGAAGCACAACTTCGCCTTTATTCTGGGTTTTTGGCAGGCCACCAGGAGGCTGTCCCTTTCACGCCTGATAAATTCTGCTGCTTATCTCTAAAGAGAGAGAAAAAAGGAAAATAATAACAGAATATTGAGGCATAACAAGTGAACTCTAAAATTGCATATGCTTTTTTTTTTTTTTTTTTGTCTTTTCTGACTGCTGACATTTTTTGTTAATTTCCTTTCTGGTTGCTGAAGAATTCAAGTAATTGGGTTATTTATTTATATATTTATTTATTTGGTTTATAATGAACAGGCATTTGAACTGGTCGAACAGGACGACAGAGCAGTGAGCATGAGATCATTGCAGCCGAGTAGCAAATTGGCACCCAGCCTTTTCACCCCTCTGCTTCTGGAGACAGATATGTGCAATCCTCATTTCTAAAGTCAGCGCAGCCTGGAAGGATTCCTGGTCTCTCCCACCTTCTACCATTCGGCTGCCAGTGACGGCAAGGATTGGTGCAGCTTCTGCGCAGTGCTTTGTGCCTGGAATACAGAGAAGGAAGGAAAAGCAGACAAGCACTCTGGACCTACTCTAAGAAATTACAGGAGCCCTGAAGAAAAAACAAAAAGCCAAAAACCTGAGCTGCTCTCACTGCTTGCAGGTTTTATAATCATGAGATGATTTTGCTCAAAAACAAAAGCAAACAAAAATCCAAGCCAAAACAAACCAAAAAAAAAAAAAAGCCACAACATTGGCTTGCCTAACTGCAGAGACATCGGGCGATTAAAGCAGCTTTTTAAGACAACATAACCAAATGAGTCTTCTTTGCTTTTTTTTAATTATTATTTCCAAAACTATGGCATAATAGCAATACATTGCACTTGGTGAAA